CTATTCTATCCTAGATTAGAGGGGAAGGGGGAACTTGAATAGACTTGTGTTAGGGACTAACAGATACACAGACCTTATTAGATCAAAGAGATGCTTTGGCACCACTCTTAGATTTTTTTCGCTGCAGGTGAGATTTGAACCCCGCTTACAATCCAAGGAAGGATTTGGATCCCTTCTCCATAAGAATTCATTAGGACAACTCTCTTCTCAATACAAGGACAATCTAATTCTACCAAACTAAGATGGAAAAGACCTCGTTTCATACGCTACACGGAATTGGAAACACGAAAATGAACTAAGTAGTTGAAGGTGTTCATTTGTTGCAGGGAACTTCGGAAAAATGGATAAAAAAAGGGACGGGATGACAAAGGAACACCATATTGTAAGAGGGATGCAGTGCTACACGACACTCCCAACCGCCCTTCTGAAAAAAGCAAAAAAGACAAATAAGATAACCAAACAATGCAACGAATAAATGCGGCCATATTCAGCATAGGCAGAAACAATGAACATCTCCATGCAAGCAGGGCATAAACAATCAAAGGCATACAGGGCATTCTTTTGTCTTATAACATGAGATGCATAAAAAGTCTTTGTATTTGAGATTCTTACAGACAACTTATAGTTGTCAAATGTTTCATTTGATCACTAAATGATGCAGAAATCTCCTCCAATTCAGCCAGCTCATGTTTTAACAGTTGTTCTAGTAACCCAAACGAGGAATTTGCAAGCTTATGAGTTTATTGTTGGTGACAGGTGATCAAGGTCGAGGATGTTTTGCTGCTTGTTTTTGTTTGGTGGAAGAAATTTTCTTGCTTATATCAAACATGAGATGCCAACTATCCTCCCACTGCTTGCTTCCTTGTAATTGGTTTAGCATGTTAGAATGCATACACCCCAAAAGAAGCCAAAACCTTTTTCTTGCCACAGAATTAGATACTTGAATTAACCATTTGCACCGCTTTTCTCAGGACAAGCTTGCCTCCTATACTTTGGTAGAATGCACTTATAAAATGATAATGAATAAGAAAATTAGCCGTGACTGAAATTAGATTTTCAGTAGCCGTTCATCCAATATTATGATTGCTACGGCGCAACACTAAATTCTTACACGCAATGTCAGCTCAAAACCCAATTTATCACTTGGCCAAATATGATCGTAGAAAACATTATGCATTTACAAGGAGATCGAAAATTTGGAACCAAATGGAAAAGCACGATTTGACCTTTCTCAGCAATGATAGTCATAAAAGTTTGGTGAGCTAGCTATCAAATTCTCATAGATGCAATCAAACTGGATTCTGTGTGTATCTTTTAAACCGGCCCAGAACATTTACTTTTCATACCACCTTAGAAGCTGGGAAATTTGGTGATATAGTGGCATCATGTGGGCAACAAAAATAGTTCGAGAAATTTAAATCAATGGTTTGCCACTATGCTTTAACTACAGGGTAATAACAAGTGGGTGGAAAATGAGCTGAAAAAATACAGCTTCCTGCTATTCAGTGTGAAATACCTTGCTGCAGCGCAAGACTACAGCTTACCCAGACTACTAACTACCAATTTCCGTATATCTGTTTAACTGCCATCTGATGTGCACCAAAGTGTGATTAAGGCGCAAACCACCAGGCGAACCCAATCTGGGCACCACAGGTCACATTAAATTGCCGCAGCTACTCATGATTTGACGAACGAAGCCTACAAATATCCATAATCTTAATTCCTCCACTTGTGCTGCAAAGCCTTTGCTACTAGGCTCCACAGCTATGCCTTTTTGACTGATGCAATCTTCTGAAGCCTCATTTGCTCCCTAAACTTGGCTATAAATTCATCAGCTTTCCTATCAACCTCACTTCCTTCAGCTCCTGAGTTATCTACTAGGTCTGTTTCTGATTCCTTATCATCTGAACTTTCTTCACAATCTTCAGGCTCACCCTCCAGCTGCAAGTCACTTTCAAGTGGCAAAGCACTATCAGCAGTGTCCTGTTTTTCATCACTCTGAAACTCAGAGAATGTCTCCTTTGGCACAGGATGCACCTTCCTGGAATTGTGCTTTTGGGTGTGGACTGGGGGATCTTTTGTTTCTCCTCCTCTCACTTTCTTTGCCAAGATGGGTGCTTCAGGTCGGTCACTCCTCGCTGCAACATTGTCATCTATTTGACTCGAATTCTTCTCCTTCGTTTTCAGTTCATCAGAAGCAGATAAACTAGATCTGATTGTTCTAACGGATCTTCCCCTCTGTAGAACCTTAGCTAACTTTGAAGGTTTAGCATCTGATTTCATAGAGTCGCTACCTTTCTTCCCTCTGTCCAACATATCTTGCATTGCACTTATATTAGAATCATTAAAGTAGCCTTTAGAAGTCGGCATGTCCAGCTCCCTGGAGGATCCAATGCTAAATCCCCTGGCCTTAGTAGGAACTGATGCTCCATCATCCACAGATGCTACAGTTGTCCGTGAAAACATGTCCAAGAAAGCCTTAAGATCTTTTTTTGGCTCCACATTTTCAGTTTTCCAGTTTGACGGTTGGGGCGAAACAGAACTGGTTCCTGAAGATATCGGATGCCTGACTGACCTTGACTTAACATTCTCAATCTCAAAATTCCCACCAGAGTGATTCCTACAATGGCATGGGGGTTGAACATTACCAACTTCTTCTCTCATTTCCATCCTATCAGATCTTGACTGCCAGCGGATGGTGGAAGGTCCAGCGACTTCATCAAACTCCTTCTCCAAATTAATAGTAACCGGACTTCTGAATTTCTGAACCTTACCCTTAGTATAATCACCGAAAGAACCCTTCAAACTCGTAGATGATGCATTACTCGGGCCAAACTCAGTTTTCTCAGCATCACCAATACTTGACCTAAGGCTCCTGACAGGAAGACCTAAGGGTTTATGTTCATCAGAAGCATAGTTCCCATCAGCCACAACCACCAAATTTTCCCCTTGAAAATACTGAGAATTCCAAATATGGCCAACGTTTTCCTTATCAGCCTCATAAATGTACTTGACGCCGTTTCCAAACTTCAAAGATCTAATCTTTTTACCATCATCTACTGAAGGCCTTGCTTTACTCATTGATTCATTTTTCAAGTACATAAAATCCCAATTTTGGGTACTCTTTGTCTCATCGGAGTTGCACATATCTTCACACCCATCCTCAAAAAATGAAGATACATTCATTACCCCGGGGAAATATGCATGAGGACTATAATCATTTCTAGGCTGATTATCGACCTCAATATTGGTACATCTTCTACAGAACAAGCCATAAGAAACAGCAATCCCAATAACCAGAAGGTGAAAAAGTTCCCAGAACTTACTCAATATAGATTGGCTAATAAAATCAGGAGCTTGTGCGGGAAACAAGGGTATAACAAGAAGAACAAGAATAACGATCAGGGACTTACAGAACAAGTCTGCGTAAGACCTACTTGCAGGTTTTTGATGCGGAACTCGGCAATGGGGATTCCTGAATAAGGCTGGAGAAGCTGCCATTGTCGAGGACAGGGGAAGAAAGAACCTGTGGGGTTAGGTGAAGAACAAGAAAGGAACATTTGGGTGATCAAGAAATGGTAAAGGTAAGGTACTAAAAGGGGAGTGTGCCTTGTGTGTGTTCTGATGAGTGAGGGAAAACGGAGAAAAGGGTTGTGAGTCATGAACAGAGGGAGTCAGAATTCAAAAAGTGGGTCATTACTTTACCGTTTGTCTCCGCCGATTGAATTTCTTCTTTTGCCATAAATAAATACGGTATGCTGTTACGACTTTTGAAGGCACATGAGGCAACTGGCATTCAATTGGCTAACATAAGATGTTGTACGCCATTCACTACTGCCATTTTTTGAAGAAAAAACTGCATGCATATTAGTACATTCGTTTGTTGGCAGGAGGAAGGACCAATTCTTTCCACGGCAGTAATTGACTAATTGGTGCTGTTGTCTTGCTATATGGAAATTTCTTTCCACTGCTTCAGACTACAAAAACACTGGGAGAGCACATTTTAGTGACCAATAGACAGAAAAATGGAAAAACTAGCGTAGCAAAAGCATCAAAATTTCACAATAAAATTGTGTTGTTTGATAAAGTTTTTGAGTCAGATAACAAGTCGTGTTATTTCATTCAGTGAGGAGCGCATTGCTTAACAGGTGCGTGCAAATTGGAAGCACACTAATTCTATGACCGACTCAGTTGAGAAACTTTTCAGCATATGGTCGGTGCAGCATATTAGCTTTTTTGTTTCCTTTTATTTTAGGATAAGTGTAAGGTTTTGAATTGAAGATGTCCTATGTACAATATCTCTCATCTTATAGCCTATTAATTTTGTGTCTATGCGGGCTTGTACATAATCTTCTTGTGAATGTGAGACAATCAGTGGGATGCATCTTTATACAATTATGAATTATGGGTTCACGACTCGTTTAGTACTATTCTAATCTTATTAATTTTGTCACAAAAAGAAGAAAAAAAAATCGTTCAAAACGTCTTTCATATTTTGCAAAATGACTTTTTTCGTCTCTCACTTCTAAAAGTGTACTTTTACGTACTTTACAAATTCACATTGATCAAATTTGATTCCTACTTAAGTTTTCTATTAGTTTTTTGTCGGAATCCATCACGTACACGTGATCATTTTTTAAGAGTAAAATCATCAAATTAAAATTTACATGATCCAATCTATAATCTCTTATATTTCATAAAATGAATTTTTTAGTCTTTGACATTTCACAAAATAAATTGTTTTGTTTTGAGATAAAAAAAAAAGACTAATACTAATATTCAGGTTCACCATTCAAGCTCACAAAATGTGGGCAGTGCACGATTGGTTGTGTTCATTCATTTTTAGCAAAAGGTTAACCTTTGTTGCAAGAAAAAATGACTAATTTCATCTCGCATATTTTATAAAATATTCTTTTGCTCCTCACTTTCTTTAAAATTTAATTTATTTCGTAAAAATATTATTTTCGTCCGCTACTTTTCTTGACAATTAATTTATGCAGTGAAAACTAATATATCAATCCTCTTTCGAGGCCCGATCCCACTTCCCTTGAATTTCACTCTCCCCCTTTCGCACAGTCTGTGTCTGACTGAGAGAGATCCAAGGGGATTTAAAACATGGCGTCTGAGCATGTGGAAGCCGATAATGCTGAAGCCATCATCGCCAGAATCGAGCACAAGTCCCGCAAAATCGAGAGCTTACTCAAGCAGTATCAATCCCCCCCTTTTCATTTATCCTCACAAATACTAAAAATTTGATCTTTCTAAACCAACATTTTTTTTTGTTCTTATTTTTCTGATTGGTAGGAATAAACCAGTGGAAGCACTCAAGACAGCTCTTGAAGGGTCCCCTCCGAAGACCAAAGATGAGAGGTGTAAGGTCAGTAATCACGATTCCAGTTCTATCTTCAGCTGTATTCTCTTGGGAATTTTCTTTATTTGACTGTATTTTTCGGATTTTTTTTTCATTTTTCTTGATCTGATATTGAGTCCTATTTCATGAATGAGCTTTGTTGAATTTGTAGTCTGCGAACTGGATAGTGGTGCACAGGGCAATAATGGCAATCAAAGATGTTGAAAGCTTGTTCTTTGCCTTGGATCCCGAGTATTATGATATTCTCATGAAGTAATCACCTTTTCTTTCCCTTTATGAAAAACTCTCTGACCCTAACTTCCTTGTTACTGCAATTTATACAAAAGATTCAACCTTTTTTTTTTCCTTTTGTGTACCTTGGATGTTGATTTAGGAGTAAGACGTGGTATCATGTTTAACTGATTCGAAGTGTAATTGGAACTTCACCATCAAATTTTCATGATGGACGTGATAAGTTTTCTGAATCTGGAAAGTCTAGCGCTTGGAGAGTATTTCATATGTATCTTTGTTAATATACCATTTCAAGTACCAGAAGACTTGATAAATAATGCTTGCTGAACTTGTAGAAGATTCACACCTTGTTACAAATGGTGTTAATACCAATTTCAACCTCAAAACAAGATGTTAATATTCAATAGGATGACCTCTTTGGATACTGATGTCGGAAACTATATGTGTTCTCCACATGATTACTAAGTGTTGCATATCGATTGTGGATTCTCAGCATTGGACGAAATTACCCTTGGAATTTTATCTATCACTTGTTATATGAGGCAGAGTTTCAGTTAGCTGGTTACTCTATTCAGAGTTTAGTTGGACATCTTTTTCCGTTGGTGATTGGTTTTGGTCACCAATCTCTTCACCTTCATGTTCTATGTGCAAGTAATTTTGTTAGCAACAAAGTTCGGATAATTGAGAAACTGAATGGACAATAAAAAAGTATGGAGACAACACAAAAGAGAGTGAGGCAATAAGATTTTTGTTATTCAGTCAATGAGACCTATGTCCATGGGTGAAGGATGAAACATCACTACTATGAAGAAGAACATAAAGCTTGGAAAAATTCTCCAAAAGCCAAAAAAAAAAGAGAGCAAAACATGAGAAAACTCAAAAATATTGAAGTGTGAACTTGTACCAGTTTGAACTTTCTATGTTTTTTGTGTAGATTGAGGCCTTCATAAGGCGCTATTTATAGCTGACCTTGACTAAAATTCGTTCAGAATATCAAATCATTTGCAGCAAAGTTTGAGGAAGATCTGCAAGAGTCATGGTATAGAATGGAACTCCACCTGCCACTGACCAACACAGCTCTTCACCCGACAATTCTCCACCTTGGCTTGTATCTGATTTTTGAAGAAGAAAAAAAAAGATGGAATACTTGCTCTGTCTTCTCCACAAGCCTTTAGCTATCTTCCCTTGAGCAGAAAAGGGATGGTATCGATGAAACGAGTTAATATCAGTTGAACAGCTCATTTTTTAGGGGGTAGTGGAAAAAGAGGTTGAGAAAATAGAAAATAAAATCCTGAATCAAAATCCGTATATAAGAATTGGTTTTGCAATTATGTCACAAGAAGAGGGCGTATTAAATCTAATTCCTTTTAAGTTGGAAATGAAGAGAATGTATAGAGAAGAAAGATTATAAAATAATGAATTTGCTGAGGCTAGTGTTGCTGCTGATGGGATTGCTGGAATGGCAACTGCTATCAGAACCATGAAACCTAGGTTAAGTACCAGCAACCGCTATGACAATAACAAAGTCCCATTCTGTAGTTTAACCTAAGTGCCAAATTGAGACTATGATAGTTCAAAATGGAAGCAATCCCGACTGAATTTGGATGGAAGGCTTTGTCCACAATGGAGAAATTATCAACTTAAATGATTGGTAAGGAACTTGTTGACATAGATGAGAAAGCTCATTCAAGTATCGTATTATATCTCTCCTATGAGGTTTTGGCAGAAGTTGCTCAAGATTAGGCAAAAGGCTTGTAGAACAGTCTATCATTGTTTTATATGTTTTATGCAAGCCAAGTTGGACATTTGTTAGCTGAGGAGTTGTGTAAGAGGTGAAGGTGGCTTGCCATCCTAGCCCACTTATTTGGAATGAATTTTACAAGCTTCCGACCCTGGATTTCTGTTGTCAAATTTCAGCTGCAATTGAATTCCTATAACCTACAAGTTTCAGCTGAGTTTCAACTATAAGATTGGCCTTAGAGAAGGCTTCAATCTACATGAAAAATAGAGTAAGCTCAAATTGGGTCAAACGCAGCTATTTTTATATCTCAGGTTTTCGTAATTTTTGTTACTACTCTCCTTTCTTAGTAGGTAATGCTGTCTGACCTACCGTTGACTCAGCTTTTGGAGATTTCTTTTAAGCTTTGTATTCTTCTTCCTAGGACCGAAGATTTTTTTCCTCCTTCACCTTTTGATTGACCTAACCACTCACTTTCTTTTATATTCTTCTCCATATTTCTGCGTGGGCTGTCAAGTGACTTTGTCAAATTCTTTTAGAAAAAATAAAATAAAGAAGATCTGGCAAATTTTCAGAAGTCTGTTCTTGACAAGCTAATGGCAGAGCTGTGTTTATGATATTGGGTTATGGGTTAGCAGTTATCTCTCCTTGGTTTAGATCATTTGTCCTCTTTGGCATAGGACCATTGACCACGGGTCCATTTGTATTGGTCTGATGAAGAGGTTGGGGATCTATTTGTGTTAGATGAAGAAGAAGTAGGCTTGCATTGACTGCTAACTTGAACTTGAGAGGGGAGGGGGATTGTTTTCAATAGGATGGTCTACCCGTGTTAGGTCTATTGGCTGGTTGGAATTGTTACACTGTAGTTTGAGAAAATCAAATGGACTGCTTAGTGCCTGAGTTTGAAACCTAAGGCATAAGCTTTTAGGTTACAGTTGGACTCCAGGTTGTATGTCGGGTCTCTTCTGTGGTCTCCTTTCAAATTAGAATTAAGTTGTTCACATGTAACGAATACTGTGGCTTTTTAAAAAAAAAAAAAGAAAAATACTATGGCTTTTTGTTTTTGTGAACTAGGAATATGTCTTAAGCTACCAGGGCATGTAAAGGGATCCTTAACCAGTTCTCAAAATACTATCAAGAAATCTTTGGAAACATCTTACCAGTTAAAGATGGTAGAGAGAACAAATGTAAGCAGGGAAATCCTTTTGCCTAGTTGGTGCTTTGTCCATCTCCCCAGTGGTGTGGCACTTGTAAATTTTTGCTATCTTTTTGACAATCATTGACTGCGCTATTATTTTCAGGTATCTTTACAGAGGCTTGTCCACTGGTGACCGTCCAACATGCGACCAGTGTTTGAGGATTCATGAGAAGTTGACAGAAAAAGCTGGCTTGGGTTGCATACTGCGTTCTCTTGCAGATACTGTAAATACTGTTTGATTAACTGATAACCTCTTCTTGCTCATTATTTAGATGATTGAATGGTAATCATTTGTATAGTAGAGCCAGCACTGTTACTCATGAATGGTGAGAGTTATTGATTTCACCACCCTGTACCGCCTCGAGCAAAAGAAAAACATGATAAAGAAACGCTACTGCTTAAGGTCTTGCATTTTCGACTGTGAAATTAGTCGGGGTTTTGGGGAGCGGGTCTAGCGTATGTTATTATGCTAGCCGTTATGTGGTGGTGATCTTATCTTTTTTGCGTTGAATCTGCCAGTACGGGCAAATTCGCTGGCTAAGAGATAACTGCAGGATTTTTGGCTGAGCCTCTAATCTGTACTTGTCTGAGAATGAAGCTAGACATATTATTCCAAAACTTTCCAGCTACCTGACAAGCAAGACAACCCAGCAAGGGCTAATCTTTATTATTATCTTGTTGGACTTATTCTTGGTTGCTGTTGCTGTGTGTGTAAAGTTTGAAGTTCTCAAGAGTGGATTTCTTCTTCTTTTCTTTGTTTTTCCAAACGGTAAACATCGATAGCCTATTCTATTATATACTCTTTAAGGGGTTGAGGATCTCAGTTGGATTATATGAAGAGGAGCTAGAGAGGAAAGACGTATACAGACTAGAGGGGTACACGACTTATGTAGACAAGAAATTTGTACTGTTACACTTTCTGTGGATCTTTTTAACTGGAGGTGCAGGAATTTGAACATTCAAAGGTCAAATTAGAGCTTAAAAGGGATTTTAAATTCTTTCTTGGTGGCTAATTTATCAAAGGCAAGTTGGTCATCGAGAGTGAGTGCATGGAAGAAGAACGATCCTTCTACGTCCATGGATTATTCGCAAAAAGAAAAAGTGTGATTGCTACACTTCAAGAAATAGTTACGAGGTGCGTGTGCTTCTGGTCCTTAAATTTCAATCCTTTCTTTTAGCTTGCACGTCAAACTGTGCTAAAGGAAATGGTTTCCTATGCTATTTGGGCCCGCTATTCATTTGCCCTTTTCTGAATTGACCTTTACCAATATATCAACTGAAACGTCTCCAAAGGTTTCAACTTTCTTCCACGTTTGCCTCTCTCTGAATATTTGCTTACAATAATATTAATCTGTTGGACTTGCTGGAGTGCGAAAATGAACTGAATGCATCATGTGGTTTGTTAGACGGTGCACTAGTATCAATCATTTATCAACAAACAAACAATAGTATGCTCTGTTTGTTTTTGGAAGTAGACTGGTAGAAGATTCAAGAAAGTTGAAATGATAGGAAAAAAATTGAATGCATTATATCATATGATATATTAGGTGATACACTAATATCAATCATTTATCGCTAAATAATACAATGACAGCGAGTCGTTTCTTTATCTCCTATCTACTAAACAAATAATGGCCCACCATAATACTTTGATGATGACTTTTGATTGACGTTAGTGTACTGTTTATACCACAGCCTAACCATATATTTCCCTGGAATTAATCTATACAAGAGAAGTACGTAGGTCATCATGACTAACAATATATCTTACATTGGAAACTAATAAAACACTAGAACAACAAATAATGTTCCCTTCATTTCCGACATTAACCACACTTGTATCTAAATTTTAATCATTTGTCATTTGATAAACAAAAACGAAGATACTCGGATTCCCTTCTTTTTATCCCAACTGATCTACTCTCCGTTTTATGGACAAAGCTCTCCCCACAGATGGACCACCTGTTACCCTTTACAAATCTATCTTCTCGAAGCAAAAGCTGAACTTCTTCCGCTGCTCCTGCCATTTTCTTGCTACACCTATCCTGCTATCCATCTTTCCACGAACATGATGAACTTTTTAAGGAAATTTATGACCGGGGCTGGCGGACACCATGCGATTGATTGGGGAAGATTGCAGCCCAAGGATTCTTTGGCATTGAATGTTGGTTTGAACCGGTCAGTGGGTTCTGTTGACGAGGGATGCCAGTGCTTGTCGCAGCTAGTGATGTTGATGCTGCTGCAGCTGAGGACGATGAAGATGCTGAGACGGCCACTCTCTCACACTGAGGGCACATAGTAAGGGTGGTCGGGGGATTCATGTTCATATAGAACTGTGGAGAAAGCTTGAGTGCTCTGAGTTCGTTCACCTCCTTCTGCAATCTCCTGTTTTCCTCTGTCAGATTTTCACAACAACGTTTCAAGTACTCACAGTCAACTTCTGTTTGCTTCAACTTTGTCCTGCAGCATGAAAACGTTCTATTCACACTTCAAAAAGGTTGGTCATAGAAAGATCAACGATGCTGAACCACAGTGACATCTATGGCTAGCATTTAGACTCTAGACTTCCATTGAAAATGGCCACCAACTACCTGTTACTTTGATATGAAAATTAAATGTCTACTTCCTTTCCTAATCCATCATCCATAAGTTTTAGCTAACGCAACACAAAGAAATAGATAACAGAATATCTAAGCTCTTTGGCAATTTACGAATTTAAGCGCTGAAAAAGCCATTTTGATGGAAGTGCAACAAGTCTGTTACCCCCATACAACTCAAGTTTGAGAATGCAATGACCAGTCTGGTTTTACACAAAATCGATCCAATGAGTAATTTTTATATCTGAAATTGAGATTAAAAGAAAAAAAGGTCATGAAATTTACTTCTTTGCTACTGGTCTGTCCTCGCCAACCATTACTATTTGGAAATCCTAGTAAACGACCAACTCAAGTAAATTACAATCCTTTGCACTTCGTTAAATCGGTTAAAAGATCAACAAATGCCACATAGCTCCATCTTTAAAGAGTTGCTATAACATCTTGTAGAAACTGTGCAAGGCACGTGTGTCTCAAACATTTGCTGGCAAATAATACCCTTTCCAAAGTATCAATAACAACTTAGCAACAATTAGCTAAAATTTTCACCTTGCCTCCTCCTACAAAAACAGTTGATTCAATGGATAGTGGACTCTCTCAGAAATTTTCCGAAACATGTATATGTTGTACCCTAAGTTGATTTCACTAAAAGGATTTCCAAGCGAGTAATGTCTTTGCCAAATGATACCAAGAGTAGACTTGCATCAGCGGAAAGCCCAGCTTGCTCTTGTATTTCTAACAAGTCATGTACACCTTTAGCTTTAGACTGAGCTGTTTTGTTTCAGCGAATACTATATCCAATGGTATGATATCTGGTACTCTATTCTAAGTTGACCTTCAAAGAGCACCTAAGATTACTATAAATTGTTCTTATAATAGCATGGATAATGCCATATGGATAGACTTCCCTTCTGCTTTGAAACATAAATCTGGTTGTCTATGGCTCAAGATTCAGCATCCTGTTATCGGTAAAGTCAGTATTTGGTTCTTCTTCAAAGAAAGTTCAATACAGATATATTTGTGCTAAATATATCACCACACTGGTTAAATGTTACTGAAACCAGAGACACACAAGTACTGACTCACCTTGCCCTTCTATTCTGAAACCAGACCTCCACCTGTCTTGGCCTCAGGTTTAGCTGTTTGGCTAAAGCCAATTTTTGCTTCTGCACAACAAGTAAACATAGTACAAAACACCAACTCAGCATGAGTACAAAACAGAATAACTCCTATCGAGAAAAAAACCTCCAAATCACCAAAAATTTACCAAAACTGCCACTAACCGGATTTAGAGTGTTGTGCTCCTTGAAGGTCTCCTCAAGAAGAGCTGCTTGTTCCTTGGATAGCCTCAACTTCTTTCTCGCCGCGTCGCCACCATCATCCTCCAGAGAACTTGAACCCCTTTCTGCCTCATTTTCTTCCCTCTCGCTTCTCTTCCCACTCACGCTTGACACCGTACTGTTTGGTGATGACACCATGACTTCTTCATCACAGTCTATCACTGTTGCCGGTCGATTTACATCAATTCCTCGAAGAGATGATCTGGGCTCAGCAGCATTTCTTTCTATAAATACAAATCAAGAAACAGAAACTCATTACTATCAGAGAAGATGGGAGGGAAAAAATGAAAAGGAAAAAACAGTTTTACAGCACGGAAACAGAGATCAGTTTGCGCTAACAGTTGCCTTGTTTTCATTTTCAGTCTCTCTCAAACAAAAATGGAAGCTTTAACGAATTTACCAAATGATGTAACAGAACAATCATTATGAGCCTTTCACAGTTTAAAATATGCTAGAATAACAAAGCCATTTCATTAAACAAACATTTCAATTTTTGTTCTTTTACCGTGTTAGCGTAAACTGGTAACAATTTCTTGAAATTGTCAAAAAGAAGAATGAACGTGTTACTTTGCAATAAAACATCAAACATGCTCAGATTTGGTCAAAGATCAAGAGGAAAAAATAAACGGACATGACCAAAGTCTTACACAAGGAACTGAAAAAGGAAAGATACAATTTTGGAAAGAGGAAATCTACCAGAAGATGATGGAAACGCATCAGCAAGAAAGGAGGACTTTTGCAGCAGCAGCAGCTGCTGCTGGTTCCGTTGTTGCACGAAAGGCAAAGTAGACCTCATGAGTTTCAACGGGAAAGGTTGAGGTGATTGACTTATCTTCTCCCGCTTTTCATCATCTCCACATCCCAAGCTCAAACTCAACCTCAAACCATCATCTTTCTCACCCATTTTTCTGTTTCTACTTTCTCTGCTTTTTCTCCCTTTCAAGTGTCAACTCCTTAGAAGAACTTTGACGCTTTAGAGGGGGTCTTAATTAGAGGATTCCCAAAGGAACAAAGGAGGGGACAGAAAGAAGAGATATGGGCTGGTCTTACTTTTGTATCAGTGCAGAAGGGTTACAGCTTTTTCTTTTTCCCAATGGACAGAGTGCAATTACAGATGAGGCAAAACAATAGGTCAGAAGCTACATATGAATACTAGTGCTCCTGTACCTACTTGCTAGTGTGATGATACAGGTGTGTGAAAGGAGGGGGGAGGGAGAATACCTATTTGCTAGTGTGATGATGCAGATGTGTGACAGGAGGGGGGCGGGAGAGTGAGGGAGGGAGAGAGTGTGTAATGGTAATATAGCTGCAGATGTTCAATGATGACTTGTGTCAGAGGATGGCTATTGGTTCAATGATGACAAAGGGATTGGCTTTGTTCTCGCTTTTGTTGTTTTTGCACTTTGGCAATTTGCCCCTCTGCATGGAATGGATGGCTTCTTTTCTTTCTCTCTTTCCTTGTTTCTTTCTTTCCCTTTTTCCTTGATCAACTTCTGTAACGGTGGATGAACATGATGGGGGTCTTGGTCAAAACCTTTTCGTACTAGTAGTAACTTCTACAATTACTACTACTGTCTCTCACAAAAAACAAAACCTGAAAAAAATTTACAATTGTTCTGTATTCGACTTTGGGCATTATGGGTGTCTGTCTGTTAATTAATATCTGCCGGCTGTAACTCTCTTC